AAATAAGGAAAAATGATTTTTTTGACCCGGATTTATTAAGGCAAATAGAAATTTAAATTGTATAAATATTTGAAAAACCAAATCCGTAAATTAGTATTTTTCTTTAGACTGTGCTCTTAGCTTCTTTTTTAACTCTGCCAAAGACAGGGAAAAGTGGGAGTGGATTGGGGGGGGGGGGATTAGGATAGAAACACACCAATTTTTTTTATATTGGCTACAAATTGGCTAATTTTTATCAGGCAGCCCTGCTCATGCCGTTAAAATGTAGATATCGCAAAGATGATCCAAAAATGCTTGATGCTTATTTATTATGTATAATTTTTTTTTTAAATATAAGGGATTCTTATTAGATAGCACCGGCACCGTTAATATTCAATCCATAAATCTGAATATGATTTATACGAGGCTAAAAAAAATATCTTAAGACGTGTCCTGGTTGGTACCTTTTTCGTTTAGATGTCTATTCAGATTATTTTTAAACTAGGGCCCCAATCTTATTCTGTTTTGTTTTAAGTGTGTAAACTAATTCCTAATAGTTCTATTTCTTAAAATTCTTTGAGGAAGTTATATAGACGCCTAAACAGATTTCTGTTAGAAATAAGACGAGTCAAGATCTTAGCTGTCATTTGATTTTTCCAAAAGTCCGGCTAATAAATTGAAAATTGTCATTTAAATAATATCGAACTATTTAAATCGATTCTTAACCCAAGAATCCGTTTAAATATTATAAAAAAAATCAATATTTTATTTATACCTTTTCATAGAGGCATTAATAACATAAAATCTGCTAGCGATACTAAAATAATTAAAAATATTTTGTTTTTAATTACCAACAAAAATTAGTTATAAATTAATAATTATAAACTGATAGTAATTATATATAATTAGTATAAAAATATTACTTCATTTTATATTTCATAATTGTAGGCGGGTTACAAACTACTAAAATACGTCTAATAATTATTTAAGCTCCATCAAGACTTATGATATATTAGCGATACCTATCAGCAGATATATAATTTACCTTTATTTAGTAAACACCGATATCTCATTCTCAACTATGAAAATGCATTAGGAGAATTGGCTAAAGTTCCAATAACAATTAAACTGAAAATTTAATTTATAGAATTTTTTTTTACCACGCACAGGTCTACCTACCCATTTTATTTAACTTTGACTTATTTCTTTTATTTATATATATATATATAATTCATATAATTTTTTTCTATATTTGAATCTTTTAAGATATTTAAACATTTTTTTGAAAATTCGCAACTTTACTACCTTAGCGATAAAATTACTTTATTAAATAGTGAGTTTATTAGTAAAATAAAAAAAAATGCAGATTTCTTAAGGAAAACTCAATATATTAAAAAATTTATATATTTTTTTTGTTGTTTCCTTGTGTTATTATATTTATAGAGTTCGTAAAGCAAATGTAAAATATTGAAGTAAAAACTCACACCCGAAGGCCGTAATTTTTAAAACATTGGACACCTAATATCCTGGTCATTAATTTATATACTCAAATAATTTTTAAATTTGGTAAATTTAATCTAATCCGATCCAAATGTAGAATGTGAACAAAAAAATTGAATAAAATTTTGGATGATTATTCAAGGAAATTTATAAATGTAAACAGGTTAAAAAATTTTCGCCATCCTTTTTGCCATCCTTTTCGCCATCATTTTGAATAAATTTTATTTTAATTACCTTTTATTATAAAAAGGAGTAAAAAGGAAATGTAATGTTTAATATCATTTTATTATTTCACAGGTATAGTAATATATAAATTGTAACATAAATTTATTAATTAAATCTAAACATAAAAAAAAATTGCTTGTAATTTATGATATAGCCATATAGTAGAAAAATTATGTAATTAAGTTGTAAAAATTAACGTAGTATTATAATGTCAGATAATTCAATTTTATATTAATTCTCAGAATTAAATTTACTTTTATTACATAACAGTTTATTCAGTATTATACATTAATAAATTTATATTTGATTTTGCCTAAATGTTTTCCATATTAAGGCTCCTGCAATAATGACTTTTAATATTTTTCAAAAGTACGCAAATAATAGGTAAAATTTATAATGACTGTGCGATGTGATGCAATAAATTAAATCATTATAGATTATAAATTTTACCTCATATTTTCCTGCTTTTGAAAAATGCATAACCATGCGTATTGCATAGGTGATGAGCGCTTACTATAAATGAGGGTTTAAGGCTTCAAAAAGGGTTTCTTCCTTTTTATAAATTTACTCACCCGAAATTATTTTTAGCTCGCTGCCTCAATTTTCTTAGTTTTACATAATTCTTCTCTAATAATTTCCTCTTTTTTTTACTATTCTGATCCTCCTATTAGCTAATAATAAAAAAAAGGTGGCCTATAATAAATAAATAAATTGTATAACAAAGTGTTTGATCATACATTAAACAATACCAGAAAGAAAGAAGAAAAGAAATGTATTAATATATATGTATATAAATTATAATAAAATTTGTATTATAATATAAAATGAATCTTACCCTGCATTCACAGTTAGTGCGAATTCGGGGCTCGGCGAAGTATAAAAAATATGCACGAATTCGCTAGCTGAGTATATAAAATGCGGTATTTTTTTTATACTTAGCCGCGAATTCGCACTAACTGTGAATGAAGGGTTAGATGATAATTGAAAACATTCGGTCGACAGTCTATAATCGTTCAAAATTTAACATCGAGATCGAAAGTCATAAGTTAGAATAATAAAATCCATTAGGGAGTTTGAACATTAATTTTTATATAAAGAAGGATACACCTAATTAAAAAAATAAATTTATAAATTGAGGGGGGGGGATATTATATTTTTTCTTAGCCTCTCTAGGGTCCTTTTTAATTTCAAAAATAAAATTAAAATTTAGACCTCATTTAATTTATAATAAATAGTAAAGTAAATTAGAGATTGGAAAAAATAAATCTAATAATTAAAGGGTTTTATTATCAGATATAGCAAATAATAATAATTAATGGCCGAGCCATGTTTATATTTTTTTAAATAAACCCAGGCCGGGCCTAAATTTTTTTTAAAAAATAACTGGGACAGGTCATGTATTTTAAAACCAATTTTTAAATCGTCATTATAGCTATAAAAATTAAAAATATATAATATATTTTAAAAAAATCCGGGCCGGGCCTTGCCTTACAATTGTACCTTTGCAGGTCTATAATGTGCACAAAAAAATTATAGGCAGCTATTCTTTAAAAAAAAGAATAATAATAAAAGATAATAATTTATATTATACTTCTCAATTTAATCAGACAATCTCTAGTCATTGAATTTGATTTATTGCAAATCTTATATCCTTCGAAATATTTTCAATTTTGTACAGCCAAGCTTCTTATTAATATTCCAAAAAAGTTGCCTTTCTCAGCTCTAATCAAAGCCTGTACTTCTACTTTCCACTCATGTTTGAGCACCATCATAGCTTTGCTCAGTAAAAATTCGAGGAATAGATTCATGGAACTATTTTTGCATATTGCATTTTTTTTAATATCAAAACCAGTTGTGTTACCATATATCTTTTTAACAAAACTATTGCTTCTGACTTCGAATCATCATATGTACCATCAACTACATTTGAAAAACACTTGTTAAAATTAATTTTCTTCTTGAATTTTTTATGTCCATATTTTTCATGATTTCAATGAAAATATATAAATTATTATACGACAATATATCGAATAAAATTTGGATTATAATTGTTTATCTCCCTTTTTTTCTTCATTTTTTAAAATATACAATTTGTAGACAGGTTTCGAGTTTACAATTAGTTTAATAATGAACTATATCAAAGCTTTTCTTTATATAGATAATATTTAGCCCACCATGTCTCTAATATTATCTGCCCATTTATCATCTCTATATTATGGTAAGCATTTTTACCTATCTGGTTAATATTTTTGGGCATATTTGAAATTGGAAAAATAATTTTATAAGACAATAATTCTTTTGGTAAAATTCAAATTTTAAGAAGTAGTTGCTCTGGATACGCCCTTCGATGTAGAGGCCACTGTAACAATCCCAGAATTAACCTTATTAAATATATATATATACAAAGTCATGTAGGGTAGAGTTTCATCCCTGCCCGGGACTCGATAATATCATCAATTTAATATAGGCTCGTAATAATGTATTTAAAAAATGAAGAGACTAATATAATTGAATAATACCCCCTCCCCCACTTTTCGTGATTGTGGTCACTAGCTGATCATTCAATATCAAGCATCGTTTATTATTCAGTTTTTAACCGAATAATATGGACTGTTTAATTTTATAATATTTTATGATTATCATTTCTAGATCATAAAATAATAACCAGAAATTTCTCTTTACATTAATTTTCCAAAGGCCATCATGTTCCTGCTTTTATCGAAAGTTACATTGGCTTACATATTACCCAGAGCAGTAGGAAATAAAGGCTCTTTTAACAATAGCTTCTTTATAAGTATATATTAAAAATTGATAGTTTTGGTAACTTCTCTGATTGAGACTTTTCACCTGGCACAGTGATTGTTTTGTTATCAGGATGGTTTCACTGCAAAATGATTGGTGGCCGAACTTCTTTTAGATAAGTTAGACAAGGCAATATTCACAAAATTTAATATTTATATTAAAATTCCTTTTACAGATTTTTTAAACAATTATATTAATATTTAATTCAAAAAATAAAATTAGAATATTATTATCTCTGTTTCTTTTGTCTGTAAGGATAAAAAAGATATATTTAAAACGTCCTTCTCTTGTTATAATAATTTATAATATACAAATAACCAAAATATAATCTTTTGTAAAAAAAAATAATTTTCTTGAAACTATTGGTAATATTTAAAAAAAATTAATAGCCATAACAGCCGATATGTAAATCACAATAAAATATAGAATTAAACATTATATGATGATTTACAATGTTAATCAAAATATCGTTCATAAATGAAAATTTAACCTACTTTGCGATGTGCCAATTCTTCAATAATTTGTTCTGAATGTGAATTAAATCTCGATATATATTAAATGAAACTAGTCCATTCAATCGATTTTAAGATGTCGTACTTTTGAGATAGGTTATTACTCTCCATGAAGATCCTTATTTGTACTTGGTTTGGTTTACAAAATATACAGTATATATTGGGGAAAACGAAATTATATTTTAGTGTGCAATGCTTTAATTTTTTTAAAAAAAATAAACATATTTTTATTTTAAAATATATATAATCATATTCCAATTATAAACTATAATGTAATAAAAATATACTCATTCTATTAAAACAAAACTGGGACTACAAGCCAAAAAACATAATAATTATAGTAATTTAAATATTTTGTTTCTTTTGGAAGATTTTCTACTAAAATTAATCTTTCATGCCAAGATTTAAATTCTGAAATTAATAGGCTTTCAGATACATTTATATCTTCTAAATAAAATTTAGCTAAATATTTAATTTTTTCATTGTCAAGATATAAAATATTCTCAAAGGGATATATAGTTAATCGTATTTGTAATTTGGATGGAGCCATTTGACAAATCACAAATCGCTCATAGATTTGAGTCAAAAATATAACTTAAAAGTAGAATAAAAACGGTTATTAGAGTAATCTCAATTGAGTCTACATTAATATTGCAACCATTTGCTTGTCTAGGTACAAGTCTAGACTTGTGAATCTCAAAATCATATAATTTCACTTTCGCCTAAACAATCACATAAATCTCTTAAAATGGTCGATATAATATATTAGTTATCTAAATTGTAATATAATAATATTCGCAATTCTCAAATCTTCAGCCAAATCAATATTATATATTTCTGAAAAATATTGCATAAAATTGTTGTGTAATTAAATAATTTATTAATAAATTCCAATGCAAAAATAATCGGCCGTCGTATTGATACTAATTATTTATCTCCTTCATATAAAATATCTGGTTGAGTCATTCCATTTATCTCCTTCAGATAAAATATCTGGTTGAGTCATTCCATTTAGCTCCTTCAGATAAAATATCTGGTTCAGCCATTCTACCATTTCTCCAAAGGCATTAAAAATAGGCTCTTCTAGAAAATGATAACCGCTTGGTGTCGAAGGTTCTATCTTATCAGCCACACCTTTTACATTTTCTTTCTTCTTGTAGCAAAAGAAGTCTCAGAAATAATCCTTCCAACAAACTCTGCCTCTTTGGATATCTTAAAATTCCACACCCTAGAATTGTTGCCTAATCATTATTAGTAAAGATAAATTAAATAGAATTTTTTTTCTGGTTTACAAAATAATCCTATATCCACATTTTTGTTTAAAAAAATGTAAGAAAATATACTTTAAAATTTGGTGATAGAATATTAATATAAAGAGAAGAAAATTTAAAATAAAATTTTAACTTTTTGATAAATTAAAAATAGAAAATAGCCTATTTAAAATAAAATACTTTGCAATTCACCCTGGCTACCGGCCTGAACTATTTCAAACATCTTATTTAAAGCTGATGAGCGGTTATTTTTCCAAATTATAATAATTATATTATGAAATCTCTAAAGGTGTTCCTTGTAACCACCCATTTAGATAACTTCATCTTGAATAAAATCTTATTATGTTCAATATATTGATTGATACTGATCATAATCCTAATTTGACTAAATCACAAACATTCCAAAGTTTACACTGTAATTTTCAAATTTATTTAGTTTTATTGAATTCCGGGATTTATTTTAAAACGAATTACATTTTTTCAAAAATATTCTTATTCTTATTTGAGTTATCAGAGGTCAGGCTCTCATATCTTTTTGAAATGCTGAAAAGTCACTATTTTAGTGGTATATAACAACCCTTATTTTTTAAATTCCTCAACAGACATATATAAGTTATATATATATTTTTAATATGTGATAAATTAATTTTTGTAAAATTTTTAAGCTAAATAAAAATAATCAAAGATTTAAAGAAAATATTTTATTATTGTCAAATTAATTCCCCTTTAAAAATTAAATTTATTAGTAAAAAAAAATCCAATTTTTTTTTGCTCACAGTATTGATTCAAAAAAAAAATTACCGACATATAATTTAATAAAATTATGTATTTTTTAAACATTCATTCGTCTAATGAAAGAATGATAAATATATTTTTTAGAAAATAAAATTAAAAATATACGGTATTCAGATTTGAATTAATGAAGCGTAGTTAATCATATCAAATCATTTTTTTTAAAAAAATGGCCTTCACATTTCTCATACTCAAAAATTAATATAAAAAAATGACCCCTTTGGTGACTATAAAAAAAATGAACAAATCATAATTTTTGTATATTTTATTTATATCGATTTTGTTTTTAAAAAGTCATTAAATTGATTAAAATATATATATTTTATTTAAAAAAATAAAATATAAAAACTACGGGACCGGAGGGACAAAAAATTTTAAATTTCAAAAAACAAAATTATTTAAAAAAAAAAGTTTTAAGTTGTCTTAAGTAAACATCCAATCCAATCTTATTATTATAGCGTATCAATATTAAACACCTCTTATGTCAAAATCTGTTTTATTATTTTTTTCTTAAAGTAAAAAGAAAAATGGTTGTCTTAAAATAATTGCTAGATAAGAACTTAATCATAAATTTATAATTAAAAGTTTTGCAACTGACGCTTAAAGCATAATAACAGCAAGGATAAGTCCTATTCTTTTAAAATAATTCTTTAATCTTACGCCGGCATTTTAAATTTTTGGCTCAACTTGGGAAAAGATAAATGTGTTTAACGATTTTATTTTTTATAAAAAATAGATTTCAAAAAGTATGAAGAATAATAAAATTCATTTTAAAATTTGTTGAATAATTTTTGGTATCTCGCGAGCGCCCACATAGGAAAGATATTTTTATAGTTCGTGAAAATGATAGCCGTAGTTTTGTTAAATACCCCGGTATTGGGTTCTTTGGGCCAATCACCATTTGGCAGTTGAGATTTTTTCAAAAGATGTATTCCTCTGTCTATAACACCTTGATCTGGGTAACTTAAAACATAATTTTATGGAAATTAGAATTTAGAATTATTGCATTCTATTTTTTTATGATAAATAATTCCAATAATATCTTACTGGTTACCTTATCTACCAAAATAAAAATATAAACTAATCCTAAAGGAGGGTTTAGCATTTTAATACCTTTTAGACAAAGGATAATTATAAAAATTAGGTCACTTTTCATTTTTTTTCTTTAAAATCAGCGGACCTTAAAAAAAATAATATAGCTCTCACCCTTTCCCGAGTCAAAATATAGCAGTCATTTACAACGATTGAAGCTAAGATTAAAGTGTTTTTTTTATTACTTGACGCTCATTAAACCTAACAAGGCCCACGCGGTTTGAACGATATTGTATTTAAGGCTAGGCGTGTACTTTCTCAAAGGACAAGAGGTAAAATCTTCGCCCCAGCCTCCGTCATCTCTTTGATTTTTGACTAGAAATACGCAACCCTTAATCACGGCGGTCTTTCTCCTTTTAATGCAAAAAGAGCGCATTATATAAATTTTAGTGAAATGATATATGCGGAAATCAAACGCTTCGAAGCCCAGCTGATGGAGAATAATAAGCCGTTTTGGGCTAGAGATCGTTATTTTTCATTAGTTGGCGTTATAGTAAAAAAGTAACCATTTAAAATTTAGCGAATGTGAAAATTAATATACGGAATATACCGGCTAAAAAAAATGTATTCCTTTGCGTGAATATTAATCATATTAGGTAGTTAATATATAATTTGTATCTAAAAATAATCGAATATTAATTAATTGAACATACTTTTACAAAAGTGATGGTCAAACCCATCAAGAGGCTGGTAATATTCAAGTAAATAATAGTGATTTACCAAATTTCGTTAAAATCAATTTTTTTAAAAAAAGGTAACATTTATATATTTAAACATTTTTTTTCCGGTTATGGGTTACTTTATTTGAATATTTACTGATATAATATGTTGTCAAAATGTATTAGCAAATAATTAATTTTTTTAAAAAGTAAAATAATAAAGGCGAAAAATGTAGAAATAGAGCTTACGGGAAAGGATAGGGGATAAAAAAAGGAAGCTAGGAATATGGAGGTTATTCAATGGAAGAGATAAAACTTAGATAGTTAAAGCAAATAATGGCCGTAGCAAGTCTTTGACGTAAGAAGAGGGATTCTTTAGGCTGATCGGTTTTTTCGCGAATTCGTTTGCCTAATTTTTGAAAAAACGTTGAGCTTTGCTAGAAATCCCAAACCAGGAGCTGACCTCTTGACCAAGGAATTAAGGACATTCCATCAGGACGTTTTCCATCGGTTCTAAAAATTCCGGTTAGTTCAAGTCTAGATGGAATGCCTGCTGATTTGAGGGCGCATAGTATGATGTCGTTGCATTTAGTGTGCCGTGAAAAACAGCCTCGACAAAATTATACAGGAATATAAATATTCATCTATTTATAATCCATAACCCACATCTCTCAAACCTTAAATTTAACATTAACCCTATTATCTAACCTATAATTCCGATTCCTTGTTCCAAACCAAATACTTGTTTATACATCCAATTAAAAAAATCTCCTTCAGTTGAACATTCCCTAAACTAAACTATTATTAAAGAACTTCTCGATTTATTTGAACAGCAGGCCTTTCAAAATATTAAAAAGTATTGGGCAGAAAAAATTAAGGCTAATTAAGCTATCCTAACAAAGGATTCACCCCCGACAAAGAATAGATTTGTCTCCTTCACCCAAGGACCTAAGAAACGTTTTGTCCAATTTAAATATTGTTATACATATAAACATTGCTATTTTAGGTTTTCAATTTTATTCATTACAATCTCCCCAAAATTTCATTTAATGTTACGGAACTTTCAAATTCTTTCAAACGTTGAAAATCTAAGGGATCAGTTCGTTCCAATCCCAAGGTTGGCCAAGATTATCAGCTGTTTTAAGCCAACAAAGTAAAGTCTGAAATTCAAAAGATGAAACAAAACTATGGGACCAGACGGGCTATCTTTTGAAGCATCGTTAGAACAGAAGGGTAGAAGCCTTGAAGCAATTGTTTATGAATCATGATGGAAGGCAAGATTCCAGCTAATTGGTGTGAGAGCATCATCCTACCCATCTACAAAGGTAAAGGTGATCCCCAAGAATACTCAAATTATAGTGGGATTAAGTTGATAAGTCATATATTGAAGAAAAATCGTTTTCAGGAGACTACGGGGTGAAGTGTGGGAATCCGGAAATCTATTAGGTTTTGAACAGGGTTGTTCGATCATTGACCCAATTTTTGCCCTCCGAACATTGATAGAAAAATATGGAATGATGAAGAGAGAAGTGCATATAGTGTTCATCTGATATGATAGTGCATACACAAAATACGAATCAATTCAGCTTCAATGGTTAGATCGACCGTCAGAGACTCAAGGCCATTTCCCATAAAAATCGGGCTTCATAAAGAGCCAGGTTAAACCCCTTTCTACTTGAACTCATCTTCGATACTATAATTAAGGGCCTGTAGAGGCTAGCATCATTGTCAATATTGTATGTAGATGACATTATGATATGCGAGCAAACCGAAGTGATGGCAGCACATCGGGTCCTTTTTTGGGCAGAGATTGGAGAAATATGGCACTCGCATCAGCTCTTTTAAGACAGTGTATCGTTGCTGGTAGGTGTCAAGAAACTATGCAACTTGCTCCATATCCGAAATTGAGTTTATCTTGGGTCTATAATACATCAAGAAGAAGGTTGACATGACGAGGTTAACGCTAGAATATAGAAGGGTTGGATAAATGGAGAAGCATATAAGAGGTGCTTTGTGATAGAGAGATGTAATTGTCGCTTAAAGATAAGGCATATCGAACTATGTCAGACCGGTCTTGTTTTATTGGTGTGAAACTGGGCACTGAGAGCTGCTGAAAAGATGTTGGATGTAATAGAAATGAGAATGATCCAAGGAGCCTACGATATACTAAGGATATACTAAGCTGGATTGTATAATTAATGATAGGCTAAGATGATGGATGTAGCTCCTTTGTCAGAAAATATAAAGGAGAACAAATTGAGATAGTTATGTGCTAAAGAGACTCAACTAACGTAACCGGCAAGTTCTTAAACTTTAAGTTACAAGTCAACAAACTAGATGTAGGCCACGACTAACTATCTCAAATTCGCAAGGACGTGTTGGTTAAAAAAATTATTCCTGTGGTCGATGCAAAAAAAAATAATATTTTAATATACCATAATAATACGTTATTTTTAAAAAAAACTGGTAACGGTTCTATATAAAGCAATTATTTTCTCGTTCATTTTGTTTTCAATTGCTACATCGAGCAGACTCCATAACGGTTTAATATTGGTCTGAGGGGGTTCGAGTTAGCCGATTTCGGGGCACTATATACAAAGTACTAATTCCTTTAAAATACAATTAATCTACAAAATGAGGAATCATTATTAAAATTGTAACATTTGGGGAATTATTTTTTGCTAGATAAGAGGAAATGATGACATTACATATTTAAAACTTGCTAAATAAATTACATTGTTTTATGAATTTATATAATGGTCAAAATAAAATAATCCAGAAAAAAAATCTAAAGAAAACTTGAGTTTTTCAGGATTTGAGGAATCATCTAAATACATAAGTGGATCTTGATCATTAAAAGGAGAAAATTCGGAAAGAACTTCTAAGGCAAACCAAGCCGCGTAAGTAAAACAAACACCCCAGGATCTAAGATAAAAGTTAAATCCATTGAAAAAATTACATTCTATTTCTTAAAGTAATAAAATTAAATATAAGCCTTGTGATTTGTGAAACAGATTCATTAAAGAAAGAAAGGAATTACCCCTCCCAAGATCCATCATCTCTTTGACTTTTCACGACAAACTCTAGAGCGTTATCTAGAAAACTCCGAATTTCTTGGGGTCGATAATTTGGAAATATTTTTGAAAATTTTGCCAAGCCTTTATAACACGCGCTAGTACATTCTACGTAGGAATGTTCAACCATGATGTCTGAAAATAACTTATAAAGACAAATAAATCATAAAACATATCTTCTAAAAAAACGAAAAATAGACAAAATATATTATAATAGCAAAGGATTTTTTTAACTGTAAGTTAGTGATGCCGATCTGCCATGGCAAATATATAAAGCTAATAAGGTAATCGCTTTACCTTGACCCAGACGAAGAATAGTCTAACGTAATTTGGGAATAATGTTCATAAAAACATTTGATTAAAATTAAAATGAATGTTAAAAAATTTATACGAAAATATTAAGTTCATTTTATTGTAAAGATTGCAGTGACGTCAATAGGGGGTTCTGTTGGGGGCTCAAACCGAGTCAAAATTTTTCCCTCATTTTTTTTTATAGAAATCCCGAAATTTTACTTTATGATTTTTAGTATCCCCCCTCAGATATTATAAATTATTCATCCAATAATAATCATTCATTAGTCTATCAAGGCTGCCATTACCAATGAATATAGGCCCGACCCGAGACCCGAAAAATATTAATGTTATAATTCCTTCCTATTATTCCGTTCTTGCTTGATTGAATATCACAATTATCAAATATCAAATGAATTTAGTGGTAACTTTACTATTAATTTTCATATCATATTTTGTGATTTTAATGCATAACAAAAAATATATTTTAAGTTTATGATTTTTTTTAAAAAAAATGGGGCCACAAATATATATTTTTTAAAAATATTATAATATAGCGCTCGTCGCGGGCTTGGTCTAAAAAATTTTGATTCTACAGGTCACTATTGGCTAATACAAAATATCACAAAAAAAATTAGGCAATTCTTGAGCTCTGGCAAACTGAAACATATATAGAAGCAAGGATTTTATTAACAAAAAAATTAAAATTAAGAATTGTATAAAAAACGGAATTAAACAAAAGCTATTAAAAAAATTCCTCATCCCTAGAGTTATATCCCAAATAACAATGTCAACAAAAAAATTTTTTTTTAAAAAACTTCAGCTGGATCCAGGATTTCTAAAAAGTCGGATCCCCTGTTCTTCTCATACGAGGCTATACCGCCATTTTTATTTTGGAAAGTTAAAAGGCAATCGACCGCTAGGAATATTCTTTCTCTTAAAGTTTCGGGCGAAAAGTTATTGTATTTGTATTTATCGTTGATACCCGAAGCGTCGCCGCCACCATTTGCGTTGTGATTAATTTCATCGATAATGGCAATATCATTAAACACGGTTTTCAAAATAGTTTCGCCTAATTCGGATGATAATGGATACTTAATATATTTACATCTAATCAATTTTATTTGGCAAAAGTTGTTTCAAATAAATTATTAATTTTAAGTTTATGTAAAAAATAAATAATCTTTCAATGTAAAAAATTTAAGCCGACCAGATAGCCGAAAGTTTTAAAAGCAAAACGCCATCACTACCAATAATTTGAAGCGTAGATTTTCTTTAATTACAATTAAGATAATAATTTAAGAATATTAATGTCAAAACTCGATCAGCGGTTATATCGTTAGCGATTATGGCATATCATACTTACTATAAATTCAGTCTTATGTAAGTAACTAGTGAGGATCAAATATCAGATCGATGTTAAATAAACATTATGGACTGAAACCCGAAATCAAAATATCGGGTTAAACCGATTTTTATAATGAACCTTTGTGAATTCGGACTGGATGGAATTTTGGTCTGCAATAGTCAAAGCCTTATCTTTAGTGGTCCATTTTTTTTAAAAAAAATTCAAAAATAAATAAACATACCTTTTTCGACGAAAAGTGTTCGATAAATTTGCGATAAAATAAAAATGGCCTCCGCGGTAGAATCGGATATAATCCACCCACACACTTTTGTACTGAAAGGAAATCCGCCCTTTAATAAAAAAAGGTTTATTCCATCTTATTTTATAGTACATTTAGAAAGAAAAAAAATTAAATCTACACTAGCAAGCCCCTTTAAGGATTTTTTTTAAGTATAAATGTCTAAGTTAAAAAATGGGGACATCTAATAAGAAGGGATATTAGGAATTATATCATATCGACAAAAGAAAGGGTTTGAAAAAAGGTGAGGGGGGGGTGACAAAGTACTGAAATTTAGCCACCGGATTGGTTATAAACAATATGCATAGATAGATGTAAAAAAACTTATTGAATGTAGGCTATTTTTATAAATACTTTATCAGGATGCCTGAAAAACGTTTCATAGTCTTTGAGATTAGTCAGTGATTGTTGGGTCATAAAGTAATTCTTAACCGCCAATATTATACAGGTGGCAGCACTTTTCACACAATCGTTTTCTTCTTTTGATTCATTTTTACCGACGTTTAAACTTGAAGATGCTACCATTATTGTATATAAAAGAATAAATAAACTTCAGAATAAATGATTTATAGTAAATATAAAAGTTAAATAGCCATTGGGGAAGGGGAATCAGTGCTCCGCGCAATAGCATGTCTTCTTATTGTGAAAAAATTTTTTCTTTCTGGGTATATCTAAATCCAAATAAAAAGAATGGTAACGGATGTCATCAGTTAATTAAAATCTTGTTAAACTTTCCATGATTTCTAACATTGATGTGAGTAAAAGCGCGCACCCCAAAACTGGTTCCCGTTGGCTCTAATTAGCCTTAAATCACAATAAAAAGAGTGACTAACAGTCGCCGTTGATTAAAAATAGAATATAAAATCTTGCAGTCTTAAACTTTCCACGATTTCTAACAAAGATTGAACGTAAAAGCAAGTATCCCAAAACTGGCTTCCGTTAGTTCCCATTAGTCTTAAACCGCTATCGCCCATCCACCAAAAATACTTAAAGGAATCCAAATGCTTCATGGTAGCATCGGAATTCCAGCCGTCGACGTGGCATCTCACCAACATGTTGAAACTCTTGGATATCTTTAATAAATAAAAAGTAAAACACGTATAAAATTCAATAATTTGTTTAAAATTAAATAGGAAATTGAAGGGGGGGGGGTATAATTTAAATTATAAAATGGCGATATTTATAAAAAGAAAGATCATAGGAATAAGAGGTAATTTAGTGTAAGTTATATACTGTATTCTAGTTTGAATTGGTTTCAAAACTACCAGCTATAATGGTTGTTCGATAAGATAGGTTAACTAGTAACAACATGTTTTCATTTAAAATAACGATTTAAAAAGAAACCACCATACTGGAGATTTTGTATGATATTTTTTTAGAAATTGAACCTGCTTCATTCTTTCTTATTCTTAGTTTCGAGTCCTAACCAACTTATATTAAAATTATAATATTTATTAACAATGATGCATATTAACAGAGTTATGGTAACCGGCGCGATGCTGGTATAATTGCAAAATCGATCGTCGGCGCAAACGTGCTGGTACATATAATTCAAGGTCCTTTTCCTCAACCAACCGAGGTGAAACCTTTCGTAGAGATTCAGTACTCCGTACGCGAGATTCAAGATCGCAGAATGAGGCGTGTATAAATCGCAAGGGGCTAAATTATTCCGATTCCGGGGCCAATCGATGCTTTGATAACCAGGGCCGTAAAGTTCCTATTTAATGATTTTCTTTTCTTATATGTTGTTGGGGAATATAAGTTTAAAAAAAATCAATGTTGGCTCATAACTATTTCTCACTAATATTTTTTTTCTGGCTCTGTGAGAAATGCGAGGGAGAGGAGGGTTATGATTGCTTTTCGCCCTCTTAACAATAAACCCTTTAAAAATTAAATGCGAAGTGTAAAAATTATATAAACCATTCGTATCTCTTTCAAAACGGGCGGCAGATCCTGTTCTTTTAGGCGAACGTCGGCTCCATAACAATAAGCCATGGGCAGGTAAAGCTGCCGGAGATGGGCCCACATTTTGGAAGGGTGACAAAAGAAGAATTTGGGAAGGATATACCAAATTTCGGGGAATAGAGAATTTATGCCCTCGTATTGGTACAGTCCCAGGATAGTGAGCAAAAATTTGCCCCACGTTGGAATGGATAGGGCTATCGACGAATAGCTATTTTGATTACCTTTGGAATTGTTGCCACTAGAAATGTTTTGGTTTTCCTCGTGGTCATTATTCTCTCCAATAAAATGGGGAAACGATTGTAAATTTTTCCTTATCTTGATTATGAATGGGTCGGTAGCAGAAAGTCCGAGAATTCTCAGACAAACGTAATATAAAACGGTGGCCAATACATATGGGCGGGGATTGTCTTGCACTATCCCATCGTAAAGGCCCCAACGGCAGGAATCGGAGCTGTTTTTGATGTATCTCAATATTTCCGTTCGTTCTGGCCATCTTTCTTCGTCGAAGATAGTTGATATCCTGTAATGGTCTAATCCCGATTTTTTGTAATCGTGGTTGTAAGTTAGAGATGATTTTACGTGAACGTAAAACGACGTAAAGAGGGCGCAGGGAATCAAAAAATGTGGGCCACTATAATCTCCGCACCAATGGCCTGTAGCTTTACATTGCAAGAGCGACACTAATTCAACGGCTCGAATTATGCCAACGTCAAGATTCTTTCCGTCTGCTTCCTTTTCTATGTTTTCGAAATCATGAGCGTCATCTAAATTTGGATCGATGCTTAAATGATATTTTTCGAGAAAACTTTGGGGGCGGCAATCGGCGAATGACTTGTCCACATATTTCCATATATATTGTCCTTGATCCAAAAACATTCTCCAACGATTAATATTGGTCGATAATGTGGCATCGGGCGCTTCATCGTTAAGGATTTTTGGCTGATGGTTAAAAAATGATGCAAATTTTTTTGGAGGAAGGCTTTTATAAGTATTAAAAAAATATATAAATATTTATAATAAAGATGTACAGGACCTAAATTCTAGGGTTGTATTCAATTTTTATGCCCCATGTGGAATTTGAGTATGGTTAGTACAAGATGATCCAAATGCTTTACATCTCTAATTTGATCATGGTGAACATTATTATTATTATATAATTTTCTCGCTATCCTTGAAAAAAAAATGATGGTGTCTATTTAATAAAAAAAAAAATTTCCGGATTGGGCCTTATTTTTTGTATAGGACATATTTTAAATAAAATTCAGACTTCTAAAGTAAAATTAGGGCTGTGCCGATATTAAATATAGGATCGGATAGGGGCTGATATCTGATTTTTAAAAATCGTATCAGATGGATATTTTGAAGAAAAAAATGGATCGGATATTATTGTTTTTGGTGATTTTATGATTGTTTGAGTCATAACTCAGCCATAAAAAATTACTCATGTTTTAAGTGAAATGATTAAGTTATGTGAAATAAAAAAAAATATAATGCACTTAATTATCATAATGCACATATTGACATTGAGAAACTGAAATTAAGTGTTTTTTAGTTTGTTCATAGCTAGTTATATTTTTTTTACATAAAAAATATTCATTTTTTATTATATTTGTTTAAAGATTGATAGCAAAATACAATGCAATTATTGGATTAGTATCAGTTGTAATTCATTGGGAAGATAAAAAAATTTATGGATGGATGTACCTAGACATGTGCGCCGCCGGTCAAATGCGCCGCCGCCGATGATTTTGACCACGCCGACGCCGCGCGCCAAAAAATTGTCGGCGCTCAACACGCCGCCGCCGATGTAAAAATTCGGCGGCGTGGCGGCGTGATACATATTTTTTATTATTTATTTTATATATTATTTATGAATATAAGCAAAATATTAAATATTTTTTGAATTAATAAAAAATGCGATTTTATTTTTTAAAATTAATAAATATTATTTGCTATAAATTTGATTTATAGCAATCCTTATACGCTCACTTTGGGCAGGTTTGTGATCAACGTGCTAGATAAAATAAGATTAGGACATTAAATTTGAAAAGGTAAATCTATATTTTATTCTTTTATTTTGATTCAAATAATTTACAACTCGTTATATAAAATTTATTTTATATCATAATAGAAATTTTATTTAATGATTTTTATTTTGTTGCCATTATAACATATATAAAAATACCAGGACTAAAACAATTATAATGGATGCAGCATTGCAATACCCTGTAACAAAATATAGTATATCCTTGCAAGCAAAACCTTCTTTTCCATGGAAACATTTTGGATCCTTAATATTAAAAACTGACACAAATAATAAGAGAACCAGTGTTGCTACAGATAAAGTCTTTTGTAATATATGCTTGCAAATAGCACTTGATAAAGATGGTGAGGATGAAAATAATTCTTCATTTTCAGAGTAAATTTTTTGATTATTTAATAAATATTAGTAAATTTTTTAATTAGTTATCCAATCAAATCTTTTTCAAAAAATATCAGCACATCAAATATAATAAAACATTTACTTGACAAACATGATTTATCATGTAAAGAAGAAATATCTAAACAAAATTTAAAGTTATTTTTCAAACCCATTGTAAAAGATACAACTGACCCTATAAAAGATAAAAAATGGATTCTGGTAAGGAATTATGTTCTCATGTGTTGCAAGGATTTAATGCCATTCTCTTCTATAAATAATACTGGAATGCAAGATTTTCTAAAGGTTATTTGTAAAATCATTATAATTTTTTATAGGGCAATCTTAATTTTTATTTGTTAAGATATTTAATTATTTTATAACATCCCACATTTAGAATTTTTTATGGCATAATATTTTATTATTAACTTTTTATTATGTAGAAATATGGCATTATTTCAGATGCCAAAGAATTACCTGACAGAACTACACTTAGCCGGAGTGGATTAGATGATGTTTATTTATCAATGAAAGCATACATATGCCAATGTAGGTCCTAAATTTTGTGTTATAACTTTTGATATGTGGACAGACAAATATAGACGGCGAAATTATATCACCTTTACTTTTAACGAAATAGATAATAATTTTAATATTGTATTTTATACATTGGCGACACATCATGTCACCCAAAAACATACCGCTGAAACTATTCTTTCCGAAATAGAAAAAGTTGAAAATGAATTTGATTTAGGGTCCAAGAAAATTCAAATGGTTACGGATGCTGGACCCAATGTAAAGAAAAGTGTTCGTCTAGGAGAATATGACCATCATTTATGTTTGGGGCATGGATTACATAATCTAGTGACAGTCGATGGAATAAAAAAAGTTAATAAAATTGAAAATCTCATTAAAAAAGTTAGAGAAGTTATAGTTGCCTTAAGATTCAAAACAGCGGATTTTGAAAATATAAACGATATAGAAAATAGAAAATGTTTTGAATCGATATCATATACATCGGATATTTTAGATTTGGATGATAATGATCCTTTTTATGAAGATAGTTTGGGGTATGATGATGATAGTGAAAATCAAAAATCATATGAGAAAAAACATAAAACCTTAAAATTAAATGTGCCTACACGTTGGCATAGTATTTTAATAATGCTGGAAAGTGTGACTGGCAATAACAAAAATTTTATAAATATTCTATTAAATAGAATGGAGAAACCGGATCTCAAATTATTTAACTCCGATTGGGACTTGGTGTATGAACTTTTAAATTTTCTTAAAACCTTCAAACAAACTGTTGAATTTTTATCTGTCCAAAAAGGAGTTACTATAAATTTAGCCTTATTATTTCGTAGTGAAATTAAAAATCATTTAATTGTAAAAGAAAATGATAGTCCATCCATAGCATCCATTAAACAAAATATGCTTACTAAATTTGATCATAGATTTCCAATAACCGATCTTCAGGTAGTATTTTAAAATACATAAATTATTTTTTATACATTATTCTTTCTTTTATTTTTTTTACTTAGGTGTTAGGAGCACTTTTGGATCCTCGTTTTCAATTAATAAACATAGTAAATGAATATTTAAAGGAAAAAAATATTACTCCGGTTGGATTTTTATGTCAACACGCTACCTCTCTACGGTCTTACACGGACAAATTAAACGAATGTAAAACGACGGAAGTTGCTTCAAAACTCGATTATCTTAAGTCATTGGCTACGAAGCATTCATCTATTCAAAACAATAACCTGGAACAACAACACTATTTAACTAGTTTAGAAAAAGAGTGTTATTCATTATTTTCGCCTTATAATTTGGAGATAAAAGATGTCTTAGATTTTTGGAAGATAAGAGCATTGGATCTTCCTAAACTTTCAATATTAGCTAGAAAGGTGCCGATCATTTTAAAAAAAGTAACGCCGCTGCCGAAAATGCTGTCGGCGCACATGTCTAGATGTACCCCATTAAAATATCAGTCAGATAGAATTTGTTGGTAAATCTATTTAGAAAATAATTTGATCAAATTAAATTGAACCAAAAATAGGTATACCATGCTCAAAATAAATATATTAGATAAAAAAAACTTTTTCTATCTCAAAATATAAAGACCAAGGATTCTCACTTTATTGGGGTATTAGAATGATTTATACTATTAAAGTCTTCAAAGATTAAAGATAGTATTAAATGGTGGGCTCTATGTTATATTTCAGGAATAAAATTACAAGATCTAAAAATAAAACACAACAAAAATAGATTTTGCCAGATAAATGGCAAACAAAAAATAAATATTCACTTTGTTGATAATAATTACATTTATATCATAAAGTTAAACCATTGGCCTTATGATCTAGTATTCATTTTTTTTTACCATCAGGCTTATGCTAGAAAAATAACAATTTGGCTTTAATCAAAGCACAACTTCTTATAGGAATATTTATGACTTAAACCTATCATTTATTTTAAGAATTCTAAATAGACTTTAGAGCTTCTAGACTAAAAAATTTTAGATTGTGATTCAAATTTTTAAAATTTAAATAAGTGTAATCTATATTTTTTAAAATCCCATTACAATTGCATGTATATGCACAGTGTGAGTTGAACTTTAAAATTATCAGGGACCTAAACTGAACTGTTAAACAATATTAAAAATATTTATTAACCCAACTCAAACATGAATAATTAAAAATTTTGGCATCCAAACTTAAACCATAGCTCATGAATTTGTTTAAATTGATAAGCTAATTGTTTTAGATATATTTATCCATCAACTTTGATCATTTTAGATATTTTTATATTACTATTGACAATACCAGATACTAGTGTAAATAAATACTTTAATTTGAAATATAAAAAATTAACACTCCTTAATACAATTTGCTAGGTAATCAATCTTGAAAATATTTTAAAGAGCTCAATAGTATATTATAAGAATATAATTAACTTATATTATGGTTATAATTAGTGTTTAATCATCATAATTTATAAATTGAATCTATTTGTTTGGTTAAAATAGTTTCAAAAAACAGTTGTACAATGTCAATTTAATAAAAAAATTTAAAAAAAAACCAGTTTATAATTGATCATATACTGATATTCATTAAGGTTCCGATTTTTGGTTAATATTATAAATATTAATATAATCAATTTAAATCTAAATCATGCAAATATATTACAAATTAGCTACATAAATGTAAAATTATACTTACTTGGATTTTCTTTTAAGATTATAATATAAAATTATTAATTTGAATGTTATATAAATTGAAATCAGCAAGAATAATAAAATAATAAAAGATAACATGTGATGAAACAAAAATTTAAAAATTTGAATATTGTTTGCTTTACATTACATAGAAAATTGAGGGGATTGACACATATCTGACGAAATTTTTTTTTTTATTGTGATGAATTATGATTACATATCTAATTATATAAGAATATTGTAAAAATGTGAGAAATTAGATATTTTGCTAAATAATTATTTATTAGACATTTTGTTGTATATGAATGAAACTTTAATTTAATTAAATTTTTTATCAGGATGCCTGTAGAGAGTTTCATAATCTTTAAGACTGGACAGAGATTATTAGTGTTATAATGAAGACTTTGCATATGTATTTCATTTATTTATTAAATCTTTTTCATCGTATAAATTATTCAATCTCCAAAAAATTTGGCTTTTTTTAGATCGAGGAAAATATATGAATTCATGATGTGTTGTTAAACGGCTCATTTTGAGCCGATTTCTAAAAACGGCAGGAACAAAAGTCTAGACATATATTATCGAAATCTTGAGCTTAGGCAATATTTTTCTGGCTAAAATATTGAGTTGACCGTTTCTAAAAATTGACTCAAAACTTTAACAACACTATATATGATGTAAAAATGTATACAAGATTAATCAAAATCAATAAATTAAAATAACAATAAATTTTATAAGCCTAAGACTAAAAGGTAGATGTATGTAAAAGATAACAATATAAGGAGAAATAATCATAAAAATTCAAAATATTGTTATGTATAATGAAAAAAAGGAAAGAATTGTTAAAGAAATGGTGTAGAGAAGTGAAGAAAAATAACAGGGAAAATTTATAAATTATTTTAAAAAGATAAAAGAATTATCAAAAATGAGAAGAAAAATAAATTGAAAAAAGATAATAAGAAAATAAAGTAAAGAAATCACAAAAAGTTAATAAAATAAAAAGGAATAATAAAATAAATAAAATTTTAGGAAAAGGTGACAGAAAATTTTTTTTAAAAAATAACGAGTTTCCTTTTTTGAATGGTAATTTTCTTTATTTGATTGGCACTTTTCCTTTCCTTTTGGGAATTTTCCTTTTATGATTTAATACTTTTCCTTTTTTGATTGGACCTTTTCCTTTTTTGTTTGACACTTTTCTGTTTTTGATTGAACCTTTTCCTTTTTTGTTTGACGCTTTTCCTTTTTTGATAGGACCTTTTCCATTTTTGATTGAACTTTTTTTTATGATTGACCCTTTTCCTTTTATGACTGAAACTTTTCCTTTTTTTGAATGGGATTTAATGTAAATAATAATAAAATATCGTATCAACACCTAAATAAATTAATATAAGTATATTATCATTAAATTATATATTAAATGATAATGAAATATTGTATTATAAACACACAAAGTATTAAATATAAATACCCTCTCCCTTTAATTTATTTTTACAATAGCCCATATCCAGAAAATTTATTCCCATAATGTTATTTAAAAAATTTTATAAATTTTGTTGGTAGAAGAGATATATAACCAAATATTTGTATATCAATCATTCATCAACGTACCTTTAAATAAATGATAAAAGATTAAATAAAAAAAAATCCAAATATTTATTCGTATAATCAATACATGTATATAATTACCATTCAGGATTCCATTGAGTGGAAGGAACATTTCTTATTATTTTAACTTTAGGTTCCTTGATATAATAATACCACGCCCGCCTATTTAAACGATTATCGGTGCTATCCAGATATCCAGACCCAGAGTTTAATGTCACAATGACTTCATCTAAAATCTAAATTAAAATTCATTAAAAAAATACATAGTTTTATATTCAAATATCACATTTGATTTATATGACTTAGATATGAGCCATTCAAATTTCAAATTTACTTTTATAGCAGTTTATTTTATAATATTTATTCAGAAATATATTATATCTGGAACCCTAACGAACGTTTTTTTGGCGTTGAAGAAAATGAGTTCTTTGCAAAAACAGAAGTTAGTCCTTGAAATTAGTTAAAAATCAACTTAAATGTTATCTAAATTTTTTTTTAAATATATCAAATTTTACCAATGATGGCATATTGTATGTCATGTTTGATGTTATGTAAGATTCTAGTATTTGACCCTTGCCCTTCGATGATATGTCTATGGTTTCTTGATTAGATAAATTTTTCAAATCACGCATAGATATCCCATTGGCTATAACAATAAGGAATGAGGCGTAAAATATCATAATTGGTATATTAATTGGCATAATACATAAGAAAAGTATAAGTGAATCTTTAGATAAAATGCAATATATATTTAATTTCAATAATTGGATATGTATTTTAAAAATAGTTGAAGTTATTTTATAAAAATATCGGCAATTTCTTTAAATTTTTTATCAAAAATAGAATTATTTTTTATATATATAATTTAATAAATTTAAATTATTGCAAATATTAAATGTTTTGTTTTATAAATAACTTTAATAACAAGAACGAAAATATTTATATGTCTTTATATTTGCTGACTCCAATGTTATTTTACAAGTTTTTAGTAAAAAAAAAAAATGCAAGGCATTAAAATTAATTTATTTTTAAACAATTAAAATGTTAATAAATTAAGTTCAGGCGGGGTTCTTTTTTCAAAAAATTTCGTGAAGCCCATTCTGACATAAAATAAGCCATCCTTCTCCAAAATTTATCTAGTGTTATAAAATAAATTTTAAACCTAATATAAAAAAAAATTATCGTTTAAAATATACAAAAAATAACCTTTTCGTTTTATATTAAAAATCCAAGATCAAAGCCAAAATTTAAAAATTTAGAAATTATGAAGATAGATTGAATATCTTACTATCCTAATACATAATAATGAAAAAAGAGCAAACCGATGGCCCATAAATACGCAATCTCTCTTTAATTTTTAGATTATATTATTTCTATATTGTTTTAACGTGAGAATTTTGAATGAATGTTTTTTAAAAACATTAATGAAAAGGCTAAACAGGGAATCGATAAAATTGGACTGATAACCTTACAAAACTTTTATAAGTTACCACTTAATGTTAGATTCATTTTATTGGAACATTTTTTAAATATTATTTTGAAGGAAAGCATGATAATTTGGATTTGAAGTATTTTATAGGCAAATAAAACATCAAAAGATTTAATTTAAAAGAAAATTATTCATAAAAAAATACGAAACTTTTTAAAATAGAAATAAAAAAATATGGCTGAAACTTTTTTTAAAACCTTTCAATACTTCATCATTAGTTTAAAAATTTTTGAAACATGGAGTGGACGCTCTCGTAAGTGATCTGCATCGGGCCTAATTTTTCAAGCCCGGCCTGCCGGCCCGGTTCGAACCCAAATTTTTTTAAAAAAATTTTGTCGGCCCGGCCCGAATTTATTTAAATATAGAAATTTTTGTCGACCCGGCTCGAATTTATTTAAATATAGAAATTAATTTTTTTTAATTACTCAAAATAAACGATATATGTTATATGGTGTCTACTTTCTATAAATAAAACTACATATTTTTATTTTACATAAAAAATTCAACATAAAATTTAGATATATTTTAAAAAATTTCTAAGGCCTGACCCGGCACAAATTTTCTTAAATTTTTTTAGACCCGACCCGGCTCGAAGCTTGTTCGGGCCGGGCCGGGTTCGGAACGGGTACGGGCCGGGCCTATTTTTGCAGATCTCTAATATTTGGTTCTAATTGCACGTTTTCGATTCTACGAATTTAAACAAGGTTGTGTAAATTTTTGTATTTTCTTTTGAATCACAATATAAATTAAAAAACGCTCAATTTGTTAATCACTAAAGAAATGTCATTTCGTTTTCATTTCGAAAAAATAATTAAACTAGTAAAATAAGACACACATTATATCATGAAATTAAATTTTATAAATTAAGATAATGATAGTTTGCAGAATATTGTTAGAATATCAAGTTGTTTATTTTTTATGTTAGAAATTCATAAGGCAAGTATTAGGCTGAATTCACTGTGTAATCTGATCCGAAATGATTTAACAAAGGAGATTTTTTTATATCTATGTATGGGATCAATTTTTCTTAATTAATATCAATACGCGCTATAACCACAACTACTTGATTATTTTTTATAATTGTAAATAAATTTTTTTATTGAAATTTGAAATTTGAAATATAATAATAATATCATATTATAAAATATTTTGTAAGTCGGAAATTTTTTTATTACTATTTTTTATATATATTTTTCTTTCATTTTCAAAAAAAACCTTATTCAAATTTTAAGAAGCAGTTACTACTTATTCACCCCTTCCCCCCATCACTTTCTGAAGGGCCTACACTTCCGGCATTATTCATTGAAATCCATTTCTGTTTCTATCGATATACTTACGAACATTATCCCAAAAAATATTTTTTTTTGTGATTTGACCGATTTCTGACAGATTTACTAAATAATCGAAGGGCACACATTGCTTGCGATATCCATTGAAAAATTTTTTTGTTTTCTATAGCTAAAATTACCTGTCAAAAATCATTTTTAAACTATTGTGTTTGAATTTACCGACTAATAACTGACCGATTCTAATTGAACCCCCATTTCGTGTTAAAAGATAAGTTTGGAAATTATTTCAAACTAAAAACAAATGATCTAATAATTATGGCAAATATATTGTAAAATATCGAACACATATATATATATATAATTAAATGAGGGTCAAAATTTCTGGATGGTATTTTTTTCCATATTTAGATATCATCATCTTCACTATATATTTCAAAAAAAAATGCTGAAAACAAAATAGAAATTATGGAAAGATTAATTAAATATAATATGATATATGTGTGCGAAGTGAATACAAAAAATTAATAAACATATTATATTGGATACTACAAATTAAAATGAGACAGAGGGATTTATAAAAGTTGATTACATGAGGGATTATTTAATGGTTAAGATAAAGAAGTGTATCTGATACAAAAATCTATTGATGTTAAAATGATAAATTGTTTTGATATATATATGAAAGATAATCGTCAAGGTTCTTATTATTTTTGATACTAATAGTCTTTTTGTTCTAA